CGCCGGAGACCGGCAGCGGATATGGAGCCGATGAACTCGCGGATGATGCGCTTCTGGGCGCTGCGCCACGCACCGTACCAAATGGGGTAGACGGTGATGTTGCCGGTGAGGACGGGGCCCATGTGATACCTCATTGCGACGAATTCCGACGAGCCCTCGTACTTTTTGGACCCGCCGAGGAGGGAGTCTGTCGAGTTGGGCCTGGAATTGGGCCACGGCCGCCAGCAGGCGACGGGCCCGGACCAGAGCCCGCCGAGGATAAAGAGGAGGAGGAGGAGGAATTGGGCCGCGGTGAGTGGCACCGCCGGAGTCATTTTGGGGGACTATAGAGTGGGGGAGTGAGAGTGAGAGGTGTTTATAGGCAGCGAGAATAGTTCATTGCGAAAAAAGGAACAGAAATTTTTTGAAGTTGATAATGGGTGACAGACAGATATTTCCGAAGAGGTATAGGTGGAGGTGTGGGGCCCATTAACGGTGGGGCTGTCAGCTGTATGTGTACTCACACAGTTTTGATTGTGATGGTGACGTGCAGGTGACTGTGTTTCGGGTGGCTTTAGTGGCTCTCGGTTGGTTTTGGCGGGAAAACGGGGATGGGGATCGGGGATAGTTTGGGGATTTCGAGGTGTTAAGCGCGCCTTTTGATCGCCTTTTATTTGCTGTGGACCAGGGTGTCCCCCTCTTTTAAATTAAAATCACCAAAAGCGTTTCAACATATGTCTTGACTGTTGGGGTATGCACTTTTTTACTGTGTGTTTCTTTTTGTTTTTGATCGGAAATATCTAGTGCGCTTTGAAATGAATTTTACTTTTTTTTTTTTTCAAACGACAATAACTTCATTAAAACTCAGAAAAGCGTTTATGTACAAATCGACCAACCAAGTGGTTGACCTTTTACATCTAAACTCCACAAAATAAGACAGTAAAAGGCTTAGTGAGCATAACCGATCATACTCGGTTTACCTCTGACCTTACAACCAAAGCAGAAGAAAGAAAACCCTACCCCAGCCCCAGAGAGATAAATAAAAGGAAACAACAAACTACAACGAAGAACAACAAAGAAAGACAACATACAGAAAAGAAGAACAAAAAGGATAGACAACATACAAGAGCTACCAACTGATCAAAACACACATATAAATATGTCAGATCAGAAGGCAGTAGATTGGATGTAACAGAGGTTGCACTGGCACCTCAATGGGTGCCCTACATTCTATTACATCCGCAAAACAGTCACCCCTAGACCCCAGAAAAGAAAAGAAAAAGAAAAGAAAAGGAAGAAAGAGCAGAATAATAAAAAACTAAGAATCCATAATCAGTAAAAATTCTAACCACTCCAATCGAGCACCTGCTGCTGTAGCCTCCTCCGAGATCCATTCTTTTCTGAATATCCAACTGTTCCTGGTTTTCCAGAGCCACCACATAATATAGGTAGAAAGTGAGATTCTGTCTTTGGCTCCAATAAGGTTCTTTATCTGAGTAAGGTCCTGCCACCACCATTTAAAAAATTTTTCTGACCCTTGCAAGCCTTCCCATGTCACACCTGCTAACTTCCATACTCTCTGTGCTCTTTGGCAGGAGAACATAATATGCTCGAGTGTTTCATCTTCTACACCACACATGCTGCAAACGGGATCAACCTCTAGCCCTTTTTTCCTCAGTCTATCTTGAGTGCCTATAAATCCATGGTAGCATCTCCACACAAATAGCTTGATCTTGTTCTTTATCTTCAAACTCCATGTTACTTTCCAAAGCTTTGATTGGATGAGCCCACTGTTGCTAGTTTCAGGTTGCATTTTTTTGAATTCCTGCTGTGTTTGAAGAGCAGAGTACATGGACTTGACAGTGAAAATCCCTTGCTTTGTGAACTTCCACACTAACCTATTCCTACTCAAACTAGACACACCCTCCTGATAACTAATACCCTCCCTCATACTATCTCTAACACTCAACCATGATTTCCAAAGCCATGAGTCATAAGGTTTAGATTTGATATCCCACAGGCTTTTTTGGTAGAAATATTTCCCCTTTAGCACCCTACTCATCAAAAGATTTGGACATGTAAGGATTCTCCAAATTTGTTTTCCAATAAGGGCACTATTGAAAGCTTCTAAATTTCTGATACCCAACCCCCCCTTTTCCTTTGGTTTTGCAATTTTATCCCAGCTGCCCCAATGAATTCTATTCCTACCCTCCCCAGTTTTTCCCCACCAAAAGTCTGCTATGCTCCTACCCACATCCTTACAGACACTCTGAGGTAACTTAAAACAAGACATCACATATAAAGGTAAGGCATTTAGCACTGCATTAATGAGGGTTAGTTTTCCTGCTTCACTCAAAAAACAATTTTTCCAATTTGAAATCCTAGCTATAACACCATCCACAACATATTGAAAAGTAGCTCTTTTAGATCGACCTATTCCTAAAGGTAATCCTAGATACTTAGAATATCTGACCACCTGAATTCCTTGGAAGATTTGGGAAATATGAGCCCTAGTCTCCTCAGAGGTATTGGTGGAAAACATGATAGAAGATTTATGGATATTTACCATCTGACCAGAAGCTTTACCATAATTAGAAAGCATATGCAAAAGGGAAAAGGCATTCTGAGCAGTTGCTTTGCAAAAGATAAGAGAATCGTCAGCAAAAAACAAATGAGTAATCACTGGGGAATGTTTACCAATTTTAAAACCCTGAAAATGATGATGAACAACAGATTGATTAATCAGATTTGACAGTGCCTCAGAGATGATGATGAATAGGTAGGGGGACAAAGGATCCCCCTGCCTTAGACCCCTAGTTGGCTTAAGAAAACCTTTAGGCTGCCCATTGATTTTAAAAGAGAAAGAAGATGAACTAATGCAAGCAATAATCCAGTTAATGAAAGAATGACAGAAACCCATTTTCCTAAGGATCAAAATAAGAAAAGCCCATTCCACTCGGTCAAAAGCCTTTGCCATATCAAGCTTTATGGCCATCAGACCTTCTCTGCCTGTTCTTTTTCTATTAAGATAATGCACATATTCATTTGCAATCACCACATTATCAATGATTTGTCTCCCGGGCACAAAGGCTGCCTGGTTCTGAGCAATGCATAGGTGGAGGACAGATTTGAGTCTATTTGCCAAAATTTTTGATATCAATCTGTAGATGACATTGCAAATGCTTATGGGCCGAAGGTATGAGACTTTTTGGGGGTTTTTAATTTTTGGAATAAGAGAAATGATTGTGTGATTTAATTGGCTTGGCATGAAACAATTGGAAAAGAATTTCCTAACAGCTATCCCCACAATATCATGCAAAATATCCCAATGAGTTTGAAAAAAAGAGGGTGTAAAGCCATCTGAACCTGGAGCCTTTTGAGGGTGCATTTCCATTAGTGCTGCTTTGATTTCTTCATCCTTGACAGCTTGGGTTAGGGTTTGGTTCTGTTGGTCTCCAATCACTTTGTTGATGCCTTCAAGACTGCAACTATTAATGTTTGGTCTCTGAGAGGTGAAGATGTCTCTATAGAAGTCCAGAAGCTCCTGCAGATTTTCCTCCTCATTTTTGCACTGTGATCCATCTGCTCTTGTGAGGAGGCCAAAATTGTTTGATTTTCTTCTTTGATTTACACAGGTATGGAAATACTTTGTGTTTTTATCTCCTGCTTTCAACCACATGACCCTTGATTTGCTCTGCCAGTACCTCTCCTCCTCCAAATAGGCTTTGTGCAGTTGTGATTTACACCTTTCCCAGTCACCCCAATGTCTGTCCTTTCCCAAAAGCACCATAGTTTGTAGTTGGGATTTGCAGGTTTCAATTTGCTGAGCTGAGTTGGATTTTTGCTTTGAGTTCCACTCTAAAAGAGCTATCCTGGTATCTCTGAGTCTCTTCTGAATTCCCAACAAATCCCTGCCTTCCTCATTATTTTCCCAGACTGTAGTCACAACTTCTTTGTATCCTTCTCTCTGCTGCCACCTTGCATCATAGGTGAATCTTTTCTTTTCCTTCTTCATGTGTGGATCTGTTTGGAGCAGCAATAGACAATGGTCCGAGGATATTAAATGAATATGCAGAACACTGGACATAGGGAAGGTTAAGAGCCACCCAGGAGAAAAGAAAATTCTATCCAATCTCTCTTCCACAAAACCCTCCCCCTGCCTATTGTTGGCCCAAGTATATGGATGACCCTGAAAACCCCCATCTTGCATACCCATAAGTCTAACAAAGCTTCTAAAGCTTATGAAACTACAGTCTTCTCTTCTTCTACCCCCATTTTTTTCAGAATGGAATAATAAATCATTAAAATCACCCCCTAAGAACCAACAATCCCCCCACATAAGACTATGTCTAAGCAAAATGTGCCACTGGCTTTTCCTAACATTTTTATCAGTACTCAAGTAGACAAAAACCCCCCAAAATTTAGTAGTACAACCAGGGTAAAGGAAACATACTTCAATACAAAAGTCATTGCATATTATATCAACAATAGTGATAGTACTATCCCAATATAAAAAGAGACCACCTTTTAGACCTACAGGCTCAACAGAACACCACCTGTCATCAAATTTCAGTTTTTTACAAACAGTTCTAATAAAGTTATTTTTCTTTTTTGTTTCAGAAAGAAAAACAAAATGTGGGAGGTGAGTTCTAAGAATCTCTTTGATTTGGGAAATTGTAGAGGGTCCTCCCAAACCTCTACAATTCCACACCGAAACTTTCATTTGGAAACTTGGGACCATTTTTGGTTGGTTTCCTCCACCATTTGATTCATCAGATTGGTGTTATCCTCACACATATCATTTTTTTGCCTTTTGGATTTTACATTCTCAGAGTACAAAAGATCACAATCTGCTCCTAAAGTTCTCTTTTTATTATCATTAAGGACAGCATTTGATTTTAAACTATTAGAGTTATCACCACATTCAGGAATTTTCCTTTTATTTATTAAGGTAGGCTTTTTCAAAAAGAAATCCTTCTTATCCCCTGACTGATTTAAATCATCAATGATTCTCTTAGTGGCTAGCTGAACAGGGACCTGCATCAAATTATCTAAGCACATGAGATCAGTAGGCTGAACATTTTCAGATTCTATATTTTCCCCCACCACTCTAGTAACATCCATAGACCCCTCACTCACTCTATTCCCTTGATCAGGGGACTTGCCCTCATTTTCCAAGGGCTGCTTGCCCTTATTTTTGCTTAAGGACTCTAAACCTGACACCCTAATTTGGTGAGGGTTTCTCTCCTGATCCTCGACAAGAGGAGCGAGAAGGAAGTTATGACCCATCTGCCCTTCAGTACCCCTGTCTACATCCTCTCTCCCACTGATACTACCATTTCTACCCCCCACATAACTAAAAACAGAGGCTCTTAACCATTCTCCAAATTGTCCAGTGCTAAGACAATTCTTTTTAACATCCTCTTTTTTAATGGCACAATTTCGGTCCGCATGCCCTATTCGGCCGCAATAATAGCAAAAGTTTAGGAGATTTTCGTATTTAAAATTTACCCATCTTGACTCTTCTCCAAGCCGGATGTTTGTGCCTCTGAGAATGGGTTCCTTCAGGTTTACTTCCACCAGAATCTTGACGAACCTTCCTCCATTGTTTCCCATGTCCGGTACCACCACATTCAGGACGTTGTTGAAAAGCTTGCCTATCTTCAGCCCAGTTTCCGCTGAGACCCAATGAATTGGCAAATCCCAAACTTGAACCCATAGTTTGATAATATCCTCTCCTTCCTTGTCACTATCAGTTGATGGGTTCCATTCTTTGAGTATCAGATATTGCCCATCGAAAGACCATGTTTTGCCTGTGAACACCTTTTGCTTGTCCTCTTCAGATTGAAAGATGAATTGGAATTGATTATGACCCAGAGATCTCATAGTGACTTGTTGACGGGTTTGCCAGACTTGCTGTAAGGTGTGCCGCATTCCATTGAAGTTTATTTTCTTTTCCCCAAATATTCGACCAAAGAGACTCAGGGTGCATTCCTGGGTTCCCAAACTAATATCGCCATCCGTAATTGAAACCCCACCTTCTTCTCGGTTTGATAGCTTAAAATTGCGCATTTGATTAGCTAAGTCGTTTGCCATCTTAGCGAGGGACTGTCGACCAACAGTTTCCAAACCCTAACCCTGCCGAACAAAGACAAAAGCGTACCAAAGCAACACCTAGAAAAAGGTAAAAGAACACAAAGATAATCCACTATTAGAGGGAAGAGCGTGAGAGCAGAGATAGAGAGATAAGAAATAGAAAATATAAATCCCTAGCTATAATAAGATAAGATGGGCAAGCCCTTTAGGATTTAGACTCTCTGCGAAGTCAATAACAAAAGGAGGAGCAGAAAGTGAATATAGCAGAAGAAAAAGGAAGAAAGAAGAAGAATCGGAAGGATTATGAAGAGAAAGAGGAGACTAAGAACCCTGAGATCCCAAATCGGGAATTCGAGTCTCTAGAGAGAGAAAAAATATCCCATATCGGGAACTCAAAATGAATTTTACTTTGATTTATTGATATAAGTGACAATTGAACAATTGTTATTTAGCGCAATCTTGAGATTCATTAAATAGTTGTCACTTGTCAAAACGATATTTTTAAATAATTATTGAAAGAAGAAATTTAAATGCAATAACTTGAAGATTGTGTGGTACTTGAACAAGAGAAAAAATTGCACAAATTGATTAAGTTTGTAAACGGACTGAAACAAGCTCTGACCATGCCATTTGCAATTTGACTACATCAAATGATTTCTACATTAAAGAATGTGCAATGAAAAGAATTATCATTAACTCTACCTTGCTGAACAAAGATCCTATTAACTTAATTCAACGAAAAACTTAAACTATGAAAATTCAGTTGAGCACTACAAACATAAGAATATCCAAAAGTTCTTTCCTAAAACATCCATGTTACGTGTTGATTGTGATGAGGGAAAATCCTTTGTACTTTTAAAAAATCTTTAACCTCTTTAAGCTGGATGAATACATGATACTCTTGATAGAAAAGTCACCTATATAAGTGTGACGTAATGGACCTCTCAAATTTAAGGTTCTATCGTGTGAATGTCATCGTCTTCGTGTATACTATGGAGGAATAGTTCAAGACATTATGTCGACAGTACATCCGTTGATGTTTACTAGCTAAGGGTTAAAGCCATAAGTTACCATATTCTGATGCAATAGAGTATTGTGAGGATTGAGAACAAGAGTCTGTATACATGCATACATTGATTTCCACTCATGTGAGTGATTGTTAAAAAAATCAGTTTTAAAAGGATGGATTTGACCCGATTTTGATTGATTTTCTTATGGCTAAACATTTAATTCGGGTGAATTTATTTTTTTGAAAATAATCTATGTTTCAAGTAGATACTCTTGGTATATTTATTTTCTCAAAACTGATTTATAAATAACGAGACAATAATGATAAAAGTTAGCCTTTAATGGGAACGTGAAATGTTGGTTATGAGATTCGAAAGGTCAAGAGACTTGTCCCACATTGGACTCTTAAATGAGAATAACCCTCTTTAATATAAATAGAATTGAAGATATCACAACAACTAAAGTTATGCACCAAGTATAGGTGTTTGCTTCGATCAGAAGCGCGCACGCCAGCTGACCGGCAGGCCTGCTCGAGCTCGAGCTTAGGTAAGGGTTTCGGCCCTGGCCTTGGCCTTTGACTTGTATCTTGGTCTTTGGTCTTTGGTACTTGGACTGGTTTTTTGACTTGGGAGGCCATGGATGGTTTGGGCTTTGGTCCCAACTCCTATAATTTTTTGCTGAAAAATTATTTAAAAAGTTCTGGCCTAAACTGAGTTGGATTTAGGACCCTGGTTTGAACATAACCCATGTGGCCTACACCAAGTTCATTGAACCTGGACACATTAATTTGACACCATGTGTTGGAGTGATGTGTTAGCACATGAAAAACGATTTGATTGTTTTATGCTTGTTGGAGCAGAATCATCAGTTATCTCTTGCTGAGGGTGATCTATTGTCTGATCCCGAGCGATATCGTCATTTAGTCGGACGTCTTATCTATCTGGTAATGACTCAACCTGAGCTTTCTTATTCGGTGCATATGCTCTCTCAATTTATGCACCAATCGTGTCAGGATCATTGAGACTCTCTCTGCGTGAGGTTCGATGTTTGAAAGGCTCTCCTGGTCAGGGGATTCATCTTCGTACTGACTGCGATCTTCAACTCTATGCATGGTGTAATTCGGATTGGGTGTCTTGTCCTCACACTCGATGCTCTCTTTCTGGTTCGTTTATTCAGCTGCGTTAGTCTCCTGTTTCTTGGTGAACCAAGAAACAACCTACTGTCGCACGCTCTTCTGCAAAGACTGAATATTGGGCGATGACTACTACATTGTGTGAATTGAAGTGGTTACGGGGACTATTATCTACTCTTGGTGTCGCTCACTCTCAATATATGCGGTTACACTGTGACAGTCAGTCTGCGTTGCATATTGCACGAGTCCAGTTTTTCACGAGCGCACTAAGCACATTGAGGTGGATATATTGCCACTTTTTTCGAGATACTGTTCTTCAGGGTCTCATTTCTACTCATCATGTTTTGTACAGCTCGCTGCTCGCTGAAATCTTCACCAAGACACTTGGGAAGCGTGAATTTAATTTCTTTCTTGACAAGTTGGGCATTCGGAATCTGCATGCTCTAACTTGAAGGGGGGTGTTATTGTGTATATTTTTGTACTTACTGTATTAGTCTTAGGTTATCTTTAGGTAACTGTAGCCCTAATTTTTTATCTATATTCTTAGTTAATAGAGAGTGTTATCATCCGATTGAGATGATCTTTCTCTCAAATTATGTCTCGTCTTTCTCGTATCAATAACCCTAATGTAAACATCAATTCATCCAGCCATAATACACAAGAGCCGCATTCCCTTCTTTCTCATTGTCTCTCTCGATTCCCTTCTCTTCGATTTTTAATCTCAAGTACAAATCTGATATGATTATGTCTTATAATTAGAAGATGGAGCTTATTTCATAAGCTTGTGTGGTAGCTTGCTCGTTGAATTTTTTAATTCAACCAATTTATCATCTAATTTTACAAAATTATTTTCTTATATCAGTTACTGTTTAAGCCATCAACCATAAGTTGTTAGCTATAAGTTCGATTGTTAATTATAAACTACCAGTTAACTTAATAGTTATCATCTAGTTTTAATCTAAATTTACCAATCAAAGTCTTACTAATAAGTATGATAAATTCGATGCTAATTAAAACGGACAGGTAAATTAAGTAAAAAGACTATGATAATATGTGAAATATGCAGATGAGTAACTTGCAAAAATTCATTATGAAAGATAAACTTTGTAAATGCACTATGAAATAAAGGTAACTTCTATATGATATTTAAATGCAAACTAATAAGTATATTTTGATAATTAATTTTATTATCAAGTAGCTCAGAGTATGATTAAGTAACAAGTGTGATAAGTAATATATAATTGGAATGTAAATACTGAAAATACATTAACTGGTAAAATTCTGAAAGGCTGTTAGTTTTTGTCTTTCAACATAAATGTTGGTGAANTAATAGATAAATCTTTAGTTCGATAAACTTTACAAAACTGCATGCATCTAGAAAGAAATGAACAAGTAAAAAATAATGTACATACCTAAAATATTTGAAGGGCCGAAGGAGGTGCGGCCCAACTGTTCAATCAGACCTAATTCAATAGTATTATTTAGATCACCTGAATCCGGAAAATACGTCAAGAAGGAATGCACGTGGAGACCCAAGTACTTGTAAGAACAGTTAATGATGGATAGATGATGAGTTCCCTATAATAACAAACATATATTGAATCGTAAAAAAAATAAAAAAATAAATGTTGGAGACTAAAAATCCTCTTTACTAAATACGTCCAGTATTTGGCTCGTGATCAACTTCTTCTGAATTCAGGTGCGTCTTTTTCTCACTTCCTCTCTATTAAATTCCACAAAAAACTGGCCAGATTTTTTCCTCCCCACCTGGATTCTCTCTCTCTCTCCAAACAAACACGATAACCTAAAATTCCAGGCCTTACAACAAACAAACATATTCTCACAAAACATAGGGATACAATCTTACAAACACTAATAAAGCCATGTTTTTTTGTGATCTATAGATTTTTTTTTTTATTTCTGTTTTAATAAGTAAATAATGTCCATCCCCAATTTATCCGCGAGCCAAACGAAGTTCAAGATGGCCGACAGGCCCTCGCCGTACGTCCACCGCCGGTGGACGGGCTATTCGGGCCCCAAGCTCGTCTTCTGGGCCTCCATCTCCACCGCCCTCATCCTCTTCCTCATATTCCATTCACCGCCGCCCGGCGTATCCCTCACCCACCGGCCCACCACCACATGGGGCGGCCGCGACTGGGAGGCCCACGTCCAGAAATCGGGCCGGCCACGCTCCCGCTCCCCCTCACACTCCGCCGGGCCGGGCCACCTCTCGGTCCTCGTCACTGGCGCCGCCGGCTTCGTCGGCAGCCACGTCTCGGCCGCCCTTCGAAGGCGCGGCGACGGCGTAGTCGGGCTCGACAATTTCAACAATTACTACGACCCGGCCCTGAAACGGGCCCGCCAAAACCTTCTTCTTCGGGACGGGGTCTTCGTGGTCAACGGTGACATAAACGACGCCGATTTGCTTATCAAGCTTTTCGACCTCGTGGCCTTCACGCACGTGATGCACCTTGCGGCCCAAGCCGGGGTCCGTTACGCGATGAAAAATCCCGCGTCCTATGTCACCAGCAACATCGCGGGCCTCGTGAATATTTTCGAGGCCTGCAAATCGGCCAATCCACAGCCCTCGATTGTGTGGGCCTCGTCCAGCTCGGTCTATGGGCTCAACAACAAAGTCCCTTTTTCCGAAAAGGACCAAACTGACAGGCCCGCCAGCCTGTACGCTGCCACCAAAAAGGCCGGTGAGGAGATAGCCCATACCTACAACCACATATACGGCCTTTCCATAACTGGGCTTCGGTTCTTCACCGTGTATGGGCCCTGGGGCAGGCCCGACATGGCTTACTTCTTCTTCACAAAGGATATCTTGAAAGGGAAGCCCATATCCATATTCGAAGGCCCAAATCATTCAAGCGTGGCCCGGGATTTCACCTACATCGACGACATCGTGAAGGGTTGTTTGGGCTCGATTGACACGGCCGGGAAGAGCACCGGGAGCGGAGGAAAGAAAATGGGCCCGGCCCAATTACGGGTCTTCAATCTCGGAAATACTTCGCCTGTGCCGGTTACCAAGCTCGTGAGCATACTCGAGAAGCTTCTGAAGGTGAAGGCGAAGAGGAACGTGCTGCCAATGCCGGCAAATGGGGATGTTCTGTTCACACATGCGAATATTAGCTACGCGAAGAAGGAGCTTCATTACAGGCCGACCACGGATTTGCAGACGGGTTTGAAGAAGTTTGTGCATTGGTATCTCGATTATTATTCTGGGAATGACAAGAGTTCTTGAGTAGTTTTTATTTGTGTGTGCAGTGATTCTTGTCCTGTTTTGATTGATTATAAACGTGGTGAGATACATTTGTGTCTTGGTAGGTATATATGAGTTTGTTGGGGAAAAAGGTGAGCTATTTGATTCACTTGTTTGTTTTGCGAGGAGAAGGGGAAATCCAGGAGAGGATCTTTATTTTTATGTCATTTTTTTGCTTTCTTACAACACTTCTTGTTGGATTATTGCAGTGATGTTTAATTTTCCTGAAAGATGTAAAGCTGTCTCTGCATGGGTTATTTTGCTTGCTGGATGTGAATGTTACAGTAGATGCTATTGTTATATGTTTATGTTTACACAAAGAAAATAAGTTTTGTATAAGGTAAAGAGATGATATCCAGTGTCTTAACAACTTCCTGTCTTCCTCTCTCTCTCTCTCTCTAATTAATAAAGAGATGATATCTTTAGTATCCATGTGCTTAATGCAGCTTACGACTGACAAACGTCTTTGCAAAGCTAAAGCATTGAACACTGCAATTTTATGAGTGCAAAACTTAATAAGAGCTTTATGAACACTAATTTTTTGAGTGCAAAACTTGTTCTTATCCATCATTGTACGTCACAGAACCACGATCTAAATTCCCCAAACTACAAGCCTTTTAACATCTGAGGCACTTATGAAATGAAGTGAACAAAACGAAGGGACTGCCCCTAAACACACACACACACAATTTGAAGTGAACAATATCAAAATTTTCAACTATTTATCTCAATAGATAAAATTATCTTAGAAAGACGATTCACCCAAAAATTATCTTAGAAAGACTATTCACCCACATTGCGTTTTCTCACATCCAAATCCAAATCATACTTCATTTTCTTTCCACAAGTTTTTCCCAACACTTCTTTAATGAAAGAACAGTTTTCCAAAGAAAGAATAGCATCCACCTAACTTTCACTAAAAGAATAGTTCATTGAAAAAAAATTATATTTTTCATTAGATTTAAGTAAGATTTGACGTAAACCCAAGGTAAACGAAGATTGAAATTAACATATATCTATTTATAAAGAAATTAGATTTAATTAGAATATTCAACTACTAATATGAAATTTTTAAACAAGATAGCATGGATCCAGCATTGAAAAGAAAAGAAAAGTCATTTTCCATATCCATTTCCCTAATATTGTCCTGGACATACAAAATTGTAGTAGAAAAAGAACTCATATCAGATATCCTAGCTCGTCATCACAAAAGCTTGAATTCAAAGTAAAAGGAATCAGAAATAGCACTAATCAAGGAAGCCCTAAGCATCGGCTATGGTGACCTCAACCTCCACACCAGGTTCAATGGTGATTGAAGTTATCTGCTTCACAACCTCTGGGGAACTGAAAAGATCAATCACTCGCTTGTGAATCCTAAGCTCAAATCTGTCCCAGGTATTTGTACCTAAATCCATAAAGGAAAAGGTTAAGTTCAACACATTAATAGTTGCTCCAATGAATTGGTAATTCAAGACAGATTAGATTCCAAAGGCCTATTCAACAAATCCAAGAAAGAAACGCATTAAGACTGAATATAGGTATTACACCAAGCAGCAATCAATTAGTGAAAGAAATAGAAGGTGCAAAGAAGTACAAAAACCATCAAAAGAATTTCATATACAACCACAATCACACGAGAATGAGGTAAACAATATGTTGGTCTATTCCGAAAGAAACGATTCATCTTGAATAATCAAGAGAAATTTTCTAAATTAGGGTCACCAATATAATATTAGAGATTTAACTTTGCAAGTCACACCACTCAGTTTCATCTACTCAATCTAACATAGACTTTTTATTGGATGTAAAGAACAGCAAATTAGCCAAATCGGAAAAGAAAAACAAACCCTTTCAAATCAATAAAAAGTTGCACAAAGGAAACTTAAGCATTTGCAACATTACTCTTACCTTCACCACACGGAGCTTTCCTAGTAGTAATATGAAGAACCTTAGTCGGAATTCTCACAGGTCCCTTGACCCGAAGCCTTTTGTCCTTGGCCCCCCGTATCAAGTCAGCACATACTGTTGATAGCATTAAAATCAATAAGGCCACCATTGATAAAATGAGAAAGACTAACTCATTATCATCCCAAAAAGGTAAAAGGCTACCCTATTTATTTAGCCTGTCGTGCACCAGAGCTTGCGCAGCAAGAACCAAAATTGATATGTAAAACCCATTAATGAACGTGAACAACCAACATGATGCCTATATGCTCCAAAAAGGTTAGCATAAACATTAAAGTATACGTATTATTTCAAGAAACAGGGAACACAGCCAAATGTTAGATTGGCGGTTACTGAAAAATTAATCGAAGAAATCTATGATTTCAAGCTGCAACTCAAACTCTGGATATTGAATAAAAAAAGGCATATTTCAACCGACCAAAGTAATAAAAAGGGTTATTGCTCAACAGTATTGTGACTTCAACACATATGAGAGAACTACAATTTATTGGTCTCAAACTTGTACAATCAGTTCTATACCACATCAATTACACTAAAAAGGGAGAACAAAACAACTAAAATGGGTTATGTAGGTTACAGAATGCTCAGTAAAAAAAACAGATTCACTAAAAATGACTAGTAAAGAGAAGGGATTAATGTAGTATAGAGCAGTCAAGGAAAAGGATTAATAAAATCAGCAAACCTTTCTCGAGATTCTTCACATTTTTTGAAGAGAGAGTGATGCGAATTCTGTGTTCCAGCTCTTGGGGCTCTTCCAACCCCGGCTTAGTCGGCTTCATCGCTGCGTACGACATTGTTTTCTAGACCTTCACTTTTTTCTGCATCACACACAAAAAAAAAAAAAGAAGAGATTACACAGTTGTAACACTTAATCGTCTCCGATTATTAGATAACTGTAAAGTGGAAATTCGCACCAGAGCATAAACACACGACGGGCGCCGCGGAGCAGAGGAGATCGACGCTTCGGACTTCTGCTGATATGTTGGATGCAGAATTTTGGATGAATTTATAAATGTAGGGTTAAGACTCTCTCGTTGGGCTTAATGAAATTGTTGGACTGCTTTGAGCCTAGAGTCAAGTTAGAGTTTGAGTCCTTTTGATGGATCAACTTTGGGCCGAAGAGAGTTTGGATTTGATAAATGGATAAAATAGAGTGTCATGCCAAGGCTTATTTACATACACCTTACACTCTTTGTAAGTAATAATAATTGCAGTTTTACGTTTAGTAACAAAGAATTTGTATCAATATTTTTCTGTCAAAATAAATATACTAATACATAAAATATGTTTTCCAAATCAAAAACGTGTACTCCCTTAAAAACCGCTATTTTAGATAGAACTTAAAAGTAATTCAATCAATTTAAGCATTAACCTAATTCAATTACCCGATTGATCCAAAGAAATTTCATATTTTTCTTAAGTATATTTAATTGTATGAAATAAAAAAATTATTTTATGATTCATATAGTAAAGGTTTATAACAAATTATAATATAGGGGCCGATAAAATCCCGTAGGAGAATGATTAACTCATTCCAATATAAGTCATTAGATCTTTTAGTTTGATATGGGCCCTTAGATGTAGTCAATACATGCTGATGTGACAAATTTTTATTGGAGTTTTATTCAAAAGAATGGTTCTGTTACGGGATTTTAGCATTTTTCGATAACATATTAAAATTCTAGATTATATTTCTAAAGATAAATAAATTATTTCTTACTTTATGCATATCTATTAAAAAAAACACAATAAGTTTTTAAACAAATTAATTAATTGATTATGAAATTGGCGCGATGACACGATACCAGCATGAGTTATATTACATAACATATGTATCTTGCATATCAATTAATACTTTTGTAGAATGTTATTTATAAGTTATTAAATTTCATAAACGAATAGTGTTATAACAAAGAAAGTGATTTAAAAATAAATTATGAGCTCATTTTATATATATCTTAAGACAAATTGTTATAATTACTATTAGGTATATCGTTAAACAATTATTTAGAATTCATGTTGAGTAATCTTGCAATAATCATTATAATTATTAAAAAAATATATAGTTTCCTTGTGCTTTTAAATTCCAAGAAAATATAAAATGCTTAAAATGGAAAAAATCGACAAAATTTCCTTTTTTAATAAATAATAATATTGAATGAAAAATTACACATATTATCTCAAGTAAACAGTAATGCTAAGGAGCCAACAGTTGGCTCCTTAGCATTATTGCTCAACTAAATACCAAATCTTTTATACATTCTCTAAGGCAAAGGATAGCAAGTTGACAAAATTTGGTGCTAGTATTAACTCATCAAGTTGAATAGGTTTTACCAGTCAGAGGATATGGCATGTTGAAGAATTTAATAACAGAATAAGTAAATCTAACTCTATAATAATAATAATAATAATAATAATAATAATAATAATAATAATAATAATAATAACAACTCAGTGGAAAAGCATTTGAACTTCCTAAAAGCTATTATCAGCTAATGGAATATTTCTCCAACTACCAAACCTGGTTCCACAGATCGGGTAAAATTTTTCAATCAAAAAAGTTTTACTTCAAGAATTTCAGTCAACAATTAGTTACTAATAATAACCATATCTAAGAGATAAAAACATTGGTTCTGTCCACAGCCATTGAGATTAATTGTACAAAACCACAAGAAAAGAAGTAATGTTTCAGTCACGGACTATTTATATTTTCCTGCTCCTTTTCCTCTGCATCATCAAAGCGCTGATCATTTATACGAAGCTGCATGAAAATAAGTCAATATCTTATATTCACTTGTCATATATTCATTAATAATCTACAATAACAAAATACTATTTAAATTGCTGTACTTTTCACAATAATTAGCTCTTCAAGACAATTTAAATAAAATAGCTTTTAAAACATGGGAGTGCTGGCTAAAATAAATGAGTATCAGTTATTATAACCAGGAAGACAGATTTCACCAATTTGGCTCCCATCATAGAAACACAAATGTACCTGCACCACTGAATGAGCCAAGTCGTGAGTCCCATTAGCACCAATCGTATGGGTTGAGATTTCAGGGAAAGCCCATTCTCTGCCATCATCCTCTAAAGAGAACACGAGAAAGAAAGAATTGAAACAAGAAAAAAAATGCTAAAAGAGAACAAAGAGACTATTCATTCAGTTGGTACCTGCATCATCATTTTCCAGTTGATCAGCACTGAAAATCCAATTGTGTTCAACTTCTTCCTCTGCTGGAAGAACAGACAAAGCTAATAGTAGTTAGTCCCAGTTACACATTCTGAACGAAAAAAAGAATAAAAAGAGAAAGAACTTAATTCAGTAGATTCATCATCACCTTCTGTGGGATCAGGATTCAGCTCAGCACACTCACAAAATATTGCAAACAACTCATCCACTGTAATGAGTTAGGTAACTTTTAGAAAGGTAGAAGTTGGAAGGAAACTAGGGCCAAGGTGATTAAAAGATTAAAATTTAAACTAAATAATGACTCTGCAAAAGGGAAATATGATAAGTACATTGATTAGGATCTGCAGGCACGAGTCTCATCTCCGTTATTTTCAATAAGTCTAATGTATCATCACTCTCAGAATCCGAATCTTCCATTTCATCTTCCTCAGCGCCAGTCTCTATCTTTAAAAAACAAGAAATGCAAATGCCAACATAAGTTCATCAAAGAAAACATATAAAATCCTATAAGGCCGAAAGACGCTGATAATATACTCCAACATAGATTTAGAATGGTCCGGTATAAGAAAAAGTTCATCAGCATGCTTCCATACACAACACGTATAATTATATACACACACATTTCGACCACTATATTAATTCAAATGGCAAATAATACTTCATGACACAAAATGGATTTCGGTATTCGCATGTATCACGGTTATTAAATCCTCTGCATTCACCCATGAGTCAAATTTCAAATGGAAATATGTTACTTCTTGAAATTATTTACTTTAAATCCATCTTGATACACAACCCAAAACTCCAAAATTTATACTACCCCAACCATTTCATGCATAATCCTTACACTAACAGATCCTCATAAACTTTGAATTGTGAATCAACCTTCATTTGATAAATAATAAAAAATGAACGGACATTGGAAGCTAAGTGTAAATAAACTCACAGACACCCACCTGAGTATAAATACAAGGGGAAGGATAAGCCTCGGGATCCCTGGACACCGCGTGCAGAGAAACTGAGATAAAGTCGACCGCATAGCCCTTGGCTCTGTCCGTGTCACTCAACCACACAACTCGTCTTTCCAAGAAGAAAACAAGATTTCGATCAGTTACGCCAAGAATCAATTCGAAATCGTGCATAAAAATTGCATGAGAAGATAATATCCTTTACTTGGTAGTAATGTAGAGAGTGCCAGGGGATTCAGGCGGGCGGCGGCCGTCTCCGAGAACGATTGAGACGCCTTGCTGGACGTGCATCAGCTCCTCGCCATTCCCGGCGTCCAAGACTAGACTTCCGGCGCCATCTCCAGCCCTTTCCGTCACAAGTCGGAGTCCGGTGGCCATTTGCCGATGGGAGTTCAATGCTCAGTGGTTTTGAAGAGGGTTTTGGGATTTGGGGGTTAGGGTTCTGGTGTGGAAGTGGAATACATACGTGGAGCTCAATTTTGTTTCTAGTTTTTTTTTTCTTTTTAATTAATGACATCAATAGAAAGGAAATATGATTCCGTGAGGTTATTAGCTTGTAGATATAAATATAAGTTAATTATTGCGATCAATATACATATAAGTTAATTATTGCAAATAATTAATGGTTAAAAACTCTCACGGAACTATTATATGATCGGACTGTGATCTTCTACAGAAAAAAAATGAAACAAAGAAAGAAAAAGG